TGAGTGATAGGTGAAGGCTCATCGTGCATGGTAAGGGAGGACCCGGCTGCCATGGAACGCGCACGGTCATTTCTTTAGGGAGGCGCTATCGCAATATACGGAGGCATTCTCTGCGGCTGAGCTTAGGAAGGAGCAGGAAATTAGGATAAAAATGGAAATTGCTCACGCTTCCTGGAGTTTCTCCTCTCCGATTGAGGATTAGTCCCGTTTTAAGCAGAGAGGTTATGTTTCAAGCGGCTGCAAGTACATTGCCGCGACTATGCCCCGTATGTTGCGATAGAGGACTTCTTCAAAAGGTACTAAAAGGTAATCTGGCTGGCTATGTAATTCACAGCTAGCATGCGATATTAGGAACAGATTGGATTGTATTCAAAACTGCTTCCAGGTGTATTTAGTATAGTAGAGTAGCATCCGGGTGGCATTTCACCTGGCCTCGTTTTGGGCCGGCTGCTGTGTACATGGAGCAGTTATCAGCCGACGGCTGTGAGGGAACGATAATCTTTGGATCACCGCGATTATCGGCTTATGCAGGCAGAAGTATCTGATTCGTGTGGAACCAACAAATGCCAATGAAAATGCCTTATTTACTCTAGGCACGTCTGTGCAATAAACTATACAATAACAGCACAGGAGAATGAAAGGGAAGTGGGCCGGCAGTGAAGACAAAAGAAAGAAGTGGTCGAAAACGCTAATTCTAAAGACTTGCGTACTTCTGCGGTAAGGCGTGAGAGAATGCGCACGCAGGAGAGGGTATAGGCGAGCACAGCAATGAGACAGCGCAAACAACAGCATGCGGCGGACGTGAAAAAATAGCAGCGGTCGCAGCGGTGTTTGACTTAATGTCTTTGCTGCGCACTTAACGGCAAGGGACAGAAAGTTTTGTTGTTACAATACAGTGTTCCCTACAGTTGCGTGCCTACCACCTTTGGATGCCCGAAAGGAGGCCCGTGGCGCGGAACAAGGCAGAGTCAGCGGACGAGTCGCAACGGGTACTGTAGTGATTTGAGTGACAGTTGAGTGATTGGCGTCCAGTAGAGCGTACCATTGTACGTCCTACATCACACATCATGCGATTCTTCCGCCGACTCTGCCTTGTTGCCGCGCGACGGGCCTCTTGTCCGGTGTCCTAGCACCTTAACCCCTGGGAGGGACTTCTTCAGTGAAGTTGAGCCCGAGTTCTGCCTTTAAGAGCCGGGAGCGGGAGATCTACGACCAAACTCTCCCTCCATTGTACCCTTTGAAGGAGAAAAGAGCTAGGAAAGACCCACTGTATTCACTGACTGAATTGCTGAGTTCCCCATAAGGATCGTGTAGCTTGTTATCTACCCACGCAGCTGCGAACTATTCCTCGACTGTTTCGTAGGCGATTGCTGACGCGGTGGCTACCTCACGATCTCCAATGTGGGATCATTGAATGATAAGCATTGCTGGATCTATAACCATTTCGTAGAGAGCGAAAGCAGTGCGGTAAATTGCTGCTTCATCAAAAACTTGTAGTCAAACATTCTAAAACACTTTTATGTAATAAATAAAACCGTGAAAAGGTGAGGCACCGCAAAAACTTATCTGCCGAACACCACTAATATGTAGTCGAATATAAATAGTTACACAGAAAGAGAACGGAAAGGCCTTTTCTTTAATTTGCAAAGGCTAACAAGGATCTAAGCGATTTAGGTCCATCTTATTTCGAGATGTATCCCGTTCGTCCCAAAGCGGATTTTGCTTCGTGACCCGTTCGCGACATCCACGCTGAAAAAAAAACCAGCTAATTTAACATGCATAAGAAGGCGTACATACTTGGCGAACGGAAACGGCAAGGGCGTTTTGTGTTACGCCAGGAGCGAAAGCATACACTGCGCCATGCGAGCGGCAATCAAAAAGCCGTGAAGTAGATCTCTGTAGGTTTGCCAAATACATCGCCGTGACATACACAGTAAATATGCGCACGCGCAGCTTTAATTTTCTTTCCTTCGCTCTAAGCCCTAGGGAATGAACCTCTTGTTTTGATCACTAGTGACAAGACTCAAACATTTTCCAACCGATTTCAATGCGAGCTTTTTCTACAGCCAAATTGGAAATGACCGTACCGATTCTGGCATCATAGCGATAAGCTTGCAGTGTAGTTGCTCATCAACTTCAAGAACGGTTCCTGCATTCCTGAATAAGAATACCTTATTTGTGGGTGATAACACAATAGTAAAATCATAATTAACCATGACCCAATAACAAAATAAGTTGGCTTATACATTATACGAAGTGCGCGAAATGGGCCGGCAGTAAAGAAAAAAGGAAAAGAATCCGTCGAAAACGCTTAGGTTAAGGGCTCACTCACCTTCCTAATCGGCTGTGCTAAGGGAATGAGAGACTAAGCGCGGAGAGGAGAGTATGAGGCGAGAGAGCGCAACAGATGAGAGGGCCAGACAACAGCCTGATAAGAAAAAAATTGCAGCTGCAGCAGCTTACTTTGCAAGGCCCAGCGCTCTTGTCGGTGATTTCCGTGCACGGGAATGCCACATCTGTGATTGTCCTCTAGGTCTATCCTACAGACCGAAGGGAAGCGTTCACACCTCTGCCTGGATGATGCCTTTAGAGATGAAGCATTCGCGATGATCATTCCCTCTTTTGGGATGCGCCATGCATTCCATTTCCATCCCTAATCGTGGTGGCATACTGAATACAATTTGACCTATATTATGGGTTGCGCGGAACTGCAGTTGTCAAAGTCAGTGTTTGAACCCCCCCCCCATACAAACTAATACCAATTCACCGAGCCTGAAGAGACAGAGAGCATGGAAAGCCGAGACGGGGCACGATTAAGAATTTGATCGCCTGATCGTGAGCGTGCTAAGTGAAGCCACTTGCCGCTACACCACTTCCGCCATCCTTTTCAATCAAAAGCACGGAAATTACCTGTATAAATTGCAATACATAGGTGCGGAGAATAGTGTGAGAAGCCGTCGACTTGGTGTCACCCAGAAGCCATCGAGACACATCTGAAACTGGACTAAACTAAACTGGAAAATTTCACATAGAGCTGTGAAGTTAGGCGAATATGTGAGAGGAGAATGAGCTTCAATGCTTGAATGTATTGACAGTTTTAAGCTGATGTCGAGTGCATGGCGCATACCTTACAGCATCAACAACGCACAAAATTTCAGCGTTTTCACTTGTTGAATATTCATAAGTTTATGAAAATTGGTTCCAATTTGTCTGTTGCCCTGCTAACCTTTAAATTCAAGAATCGCGGGCATAACATCCACCGCACCGCTTTAGATGAGCTTGCGCGCTAAATTACAGTGCTTCCAGAGTTTTCTTTCCACTCTTTCTTCACTGGCAGTTCCCTTTGCTCCTCCACCTCCTTTTTCAAGCAAAATAAGCACACCTTTGGGTTGTGAAATGTGCCTTTAAGCTCACCTGATGGGCACGCACAATGAGTTCCAGGCCGAAACGTTCGCAGAAGTCGTCGATCACCTGGAAATTGAGGCATCACATGGCGAGCGCAGGAGGTTCAACAATTGAAAATATATAGTATGTACAGGAAAGTATTAAATGTGAGAATGGCACATATGACAGTAGGACGAACGTGTGATCCAAAAGCGAATCCTGGAGCCACGACTACTCGTCCGCCAATCCAAAATGTTCATATCAGGATCCGCCCACAACATGTCGTTGATCACTCCGCGGAATGGATTCCGTACTGGTTTCGAAGTATTTCGCACATCCTGAATACATAATTGTTTGAATAGTTATTCTTGAGTTGGTCATCGATCAATAATCGATCGAAGACAGTTGATCCGCTGTTTGGCCATATCTTGTCGCACTTTATTTCCTTCAAGATTGCCAGTCTTCGACAACGTCTATTGGTCTATTTATGCAGAAATCTCTACGAAGAATCCTCCCGCATTATCGAAGTCAAATTTCTGCGACCTCTTTTTAGTGTTCTCGATATGAGCCTCTTTCCAGAGATCTCGACACGACCCACTCCCCTCCCCCCTTAAAAGCAAAGTTCGGGCTCAGACCCACCTAAGAAGCCCTTACCATGGCTAGAAGTGCTGGGTACGCAAGTGCAAAGGTAGCGCCACCTTTCTATCGAAACGCGTCACTAGGACCCTAGGCGCCATGGACTTCTAACAGACTCCACCAAACTTAACATGGTCCGCCCACCGTTCGATATCTTGTCTGCGTCGCCACGTTGATCTGCTATGCTCTCTCTTCTCGGACTTCTCTACCACTCTCCGCGCTCACATTATCTCTCATCTCCCTGCCTGTCTTTTGAACTTCTCCACAGCATGGAGCAAAATGCTCGTATTTCCTGTGTATTTCAGGATTTTCTTTCCTTTTTTTTCTCCACTGGGCGGTCCACCTCCCATCCCTACTTTCACATTTGAGTGGAATCACCCCCATCAATTTAATCCTGATTCTTGCCTTTATACGCCACTACACGTGGATGTAGTCACCCTTAAATATACGGCCCCTCTCCATTACCTCACCACACGCTTTATATGTAGTATTAATTCTGGACCAGCCGACAACACTCAACTCTGTCGCACCTTTCGCTGTCAGGAAAGGACGTCGAGTAAGGGAAGGTGGGGGGAGGGCGAGGACTCGACGATTTGTATTTAAAAGCGCAGTTATGCTTTAATTTTACCTATTATCTTTCATTGAAAGATTTTGCCGACCGAATGCGAGAACGCCCCTCAAATTACGACCTCGCCCCCTTCTCGCAAACACCGAATTCTGGGAGTACCACAATTTAGGAACTTCCCATGCAAGCTTTCGGTCAATGACGGTGGACTCCAGTTATAGGTCTCCTCCGGAAAATCGGCACACATGACCCTTCGTCGCGGCCTTGGTATTATTCTTGAGAGGTGCGTTGGACCCTAATTAAGAAGGGGATGGGGTGAAAAGTGAACGCTTCTCACCCGGCGAAGATGAGCGGCCGCGTTTGCTACCACGTCGACATTAATTTCATCTGAAGCCGACCAAACCCTCGGTCCTTCGGGGTCGGCCAAATGATCTCACACTCGTCTGAGAGAACAAATAACGCTTACTAGTAAGGTGGCTGGGTTTGCAAAAAAATCGTAGGCTGATGTCATCGATGTTAATAAGAACGTACAAGTGGGATCCTCTCTATCACTGGTCGACACACTGCCCACTTAATCATTTATCGCTGAACTGAGACTCACGTCCAAAGAGTCCAAACTTGGTGACAGACCACCATGCATGCAGAGAATTTTTGTTGCAACCAAAGCCGGACACGGGTAGATTGTTGAAACATCTCTGAATACTACAAATTACCATATGTCATAGCATTCAGCGGTGCGGAGGAAACAAAAGTCACCTGGAACATTGCCCAAATAGTTTCACCTTGTTCTCCTAAATGCATAAGGCACTCATTCCAGAAACCATACTTTCGATTGACACGAGCACATTCGTGGTTACCACGAAGTAGGTAGACGGACGACGGGTAGCAGACCTAAGATGTAATTAATAGCAGCAGCGCAAAATCAGGGGTGTATGTCACGGCGATGCATTTGGCGTCCGCGAACACGGTGCACGCGGCCAAAAGGTGTGGAACATTGTGAAAATTATCGAAAATCGGACCATGACATCTATCATGTAACAAAGAAAGAAGGCTATCTTGTAACATTACATGCTTTGTCTACCTGAACAAGGATCAAGTGGGAATTGAGAAAGTTTTTTCAAAGCGAATACTACTGACCTTATATGCAAGCAGAAGCATAATACATTCTATACGACATCATACCTCTATCTACATAGTCACCTGAAATCGCAGAAGCTTGTTCTGGTATAGAGCTTTTTCTCCCATTTTCGTCCCGCTGCTCATGGCCAGGGCAAGAGGGCAGGTTTGGAAGTCAAAGTGACACTACTACCTGCGGTCTGGCCCGAGAGTCGAGCCCTCCCAAGGTCAAACAGCCTTCTTTTCCTTCTCAAAATTAGATTGAGTGGTAGCAGATGCGAATGAAAATAAAATAGCGACCGTCGCAAAATATCATTTTCCCCACAGTTCAGGTTGAACAGATCAAACACCCAATCCAATGATTCTACGATTCTGGATAATGTCAACCACGTGGCGCATTCCGAAAATCGATTTGTCTAGCACTTTGCCCTGTACTGCACCACTTCACTGCCACAAACGAACAAACACTGCGACAAGGAAACAAATTTTATTTAAAGCCCTAGCAGCCTTGAAATATCTGCTCAAAGTCATGATTCCCTTAAAGGCAGTGACCACGTTGTAGGGCGGTGCGGTTTTGATGACGTCATCGAATGTCCCTGGTGGAAGGACGTCTAGATAGACTGTAATACTATCCCTCCGCCCACTGCAGTGCGCTAAGAAGTTAAGTAAAAGACGCCCAACGGCTCAATACCATCACCAAACCGCACCGCCCTCTAGACATCGTAATCACTGCCTTCACAAAAGATTCCTTCATGATAAACTTTCTGATTGATTGATCCATTTCTGCGCCATGCACACGACTTCTATTTGAATAATAGTGGCACTCTTAGGCTACCTAGTCTTACTCCTTGCAATGATGGGCTTGATTCAGCTAGAGCGCAAAACTGTGTTCTATTCTTTCAAATAAGCAGTGCACAAATAAGTTTGCAGCGAAAGATGGAAGGCTTAATTGGCTTAACTGATTCAGTATTTGTGACCAACTCTGCCTTCTCCCCTTTTGAGTCTAGTGCTCAGTAATTCCCTTACCTAAGAACAAATAACGCTTTTCTGGTGGTCGTCCGATGAGCAGGAAACATATTGATCAGGTCGTTAAATTGTCCGTGAATATCACCGACGATTATCACCGGTGGATCGAACGTCAATCAACGTTTTCTCGGCTGAAAGTACCAAAGGAAGAACTCCACTATGTATAGGAAAAAGGAATCAGACGCGCATATGCAAATTGCAAATTCCACCTTCTCTTTATCTCCTACTTCTCGAAGTAACCTTAAAAAACCCTTTCCACCAGCAAAATCGGTTAAATCTTGCTTCAACAGTCACATATACCGCACACTCGTGCCTTCAAGCAACGAGCTGTAAGGTGATGGGTAAAATTGCGTACATGATAAAAGTAGGTTTGCGTCTTGAATCACAGCTTGATATTCCGCCATAGTGTATTCGATCTTGTGAATCTGAGTAGAGGATTGATGAGCGAGAATAATGTCTCGAGTGCTAAAAAATGAAATTACCAACCCCAGGTTCGATTCGGTTATAGTGCTTATCCAGAAATTCCGGGTAATCCAAACACTCGATCGACTTGAGCAGAGTGCGTGCTTGGGGATGCATTGAAGATTTTTGACTTTTACCTCTCTTCTGAAGGTACAGATATAAAGGTGATGAGGGCGAAGAAGTAATGGAAAGAAACATGGGCAGAAGCGCAGACGGGGATTCACAGAATTAACAGTCATGATTTCAGACGGATGATCAAACAGATAGGCATATGAATAGGGAGACATC